AGGGGCATCTGTGTGAGAAAGAAACATTGACTGGTTGTCTCCTGTACACACCCCGACTGGGAATCAAACCCGAAACCTTTCGATGTACAGGACAATGCTCCAACCGAGTCACACTGGCCAGGGTGAGAGTACTCTTGCAAGGCAACAAAAATGTACAGGATTGAGGTCAATTACTAAGCAGTTTCTAAAATCTACCGAATTTTTAACTGGTCAATATCAAAATCCCTATAATTTATAATGAGCAATAATAAAACTTGAAATTTTTCCAGTTTCAAATAGGATTTCCATAAAGATAAAAAATACTTTAGGAAATTCTGATTCATCTGTATATCCCTTTAAGTGCTTCATTAACAATTATTCTATTGCTATTAAGTATAATAAATACACACATTCAGACCACATTTTAGTAAAAAGCTGTCTAATTCAGTACTGAAATTGTTATCTGTATTTAATTGTCTTCTGGAAACAAAGTCTTGTTTTCTCAGCCCCAGAATAGGTTCCATCTCTTAGTCAATACTTAACCTTCCTTCCTTCAAATAGAACTTACTAACAGTGTAGCCCTGTTTATCGTCAAAGTAAACATCTCTGTATAATCTAAACTTATCTTCTGAAAGTCTCTCCATTTATATCTTTCCTTCATTCACAATGTATGTGTCCTTGACATCACAGTTCTTACAGTCATGTTGTTTTCACCTTTGCTGGAATATTTTCCTGCACTTTCTACATGTGCTGGTCCTTTCTCCCACAATGTGGCCTATCTCCTGGGAAGTGGGGACTTATCAGTCATCTTTTTGTAAGGCTCTGCACACAAAAGCCACTTGATTTAAGTGTCTGGCTGATTCTGTGGTCTCCCAAACACAAGGAATCAAAAAGGAATTAGGTTCCTTAATATCCTGTTTTATATTAACAATTAACAGGTGGCATATTTATCTCCACCATTCTTACCTCACCTCACCTTCCTGTCCCTGTCCAATGAAAAACTAGATCATTTACATTCAAACAGAAGGAAAATCTCATTAGCATAAGGCTGATTAAGAAAAAAGGAAGAAGTCTGAGAAATCACAAACAGGATGAAGATAAGAAAAAAGGATCAAAATGACTAAAAGAAAAATTTAAGAGAACGATAATAAAAGGGAATAAGACAGGTAATAATAAGGCAATAATGTCAGACAATCACCAAGAAAAAAAGCCTGCAGAAAACAAATTCAATGTCTTGCTTAACTTGAGCACTAAACCACAGATCACAGGACAACTGACAACTTTTAAATACCAGTCCAGGGATGTGTGGTTATCCCACCCTGGTACTTGTTACGCCAAATATAACTGCTGACTTGGGGTGCTCCTGAATCAATGAAAAGGACCACCATTATTTCCATTCCCTGCCAAGACACACATCAGTGGCTGGGGACTAGAGGGAGAACCAGTGGCAGATACCACAGCAGCAGGCCAATGGCTGCATAAGACAAGCCTGGTCTTAAGGCTAAAATGAAATGAAATGAAAAGAAATCAAGACAAGGGAGGATGAGAAGAACAGCGCCTCAGAGCGGGCAGGTCCTTCCTATCGTCAGGGCAGAGCAAACATCTGGGATTATTTTTACTGAACACCAAATTGAAGACTTTGTTGCTCTCTTGCAATTATTTGTTAGTAAGACCACACAAAGAAAAATTAGACCTATAGGCTCAAATGAGGAGTGGTTAAAGTCAGTATAGATAACCATTAAAAAAAAACCTTTAATAACCATTAAAAAAAACACCATGCTCTTTAAATTAACAGAGCAGTTAATTGCACAAAGAATACTCCTGACTTGGAGAGATGTTCATCCTAAATTCTTAAATCAAATGAGGAACCTGCAGACAAACATCTATAATAGCCTGATAACATTTTTGTTAAAATATGTCTGTATAAGCACAAGAAAAATCTTTAAATTCCAAAATAAATGCTGGTATTGTGAATTTTTCCTTTTTTAAAATTTTTTTCTATGTTTTCAATAAAATCAAAATTAAAATAACGACCCTTTAAAATAAAAGAAAAAATGTTCCCTTCCAGGTCATTCAGTCTTTACCCTGAATTAAATGTGTATGGAACTTACAAAGAACCCCTTTCACACAGAACATAGCTTTGACAGAGCTGCTCTCACCCAGTGGGGTGAAGGGGCCAAGCCCAGCTGCATTAGGGTGGAAAAAAACACAATCTGTGAACACCAATGGAAAGGTTTGAATCCAGCATCTCTATTCAGTGGTTCAGTGACCCAGAGCAAATTATATGAAATTTCTGAATACAGCCTTTACTCGGCTTCGGGAGTGGAATACCTCACAGGGTTGCTCTGAGGATTCTCGAGAACAGTGCCCACATATGATGACACAGATTGGTGGCTGGGTTATCAAGGACCTTTCTGACCAATATGATTCTTTGTCTTATCTCAGGAGACAATCTTTTCCAGATAATGCCAGATTGTTTGCCATTTACACTGACCTCCCCTTGGCCTGTGATTCAGACCCATCCATGCTCAGCAGAGCAGCCCAATTCCTGATGCTTCCTTCAAAAGCGTCTGTATTTACCACCTCCAGGAAACAGCAGAGAAAACAGCTGGCAGTTGGGAAGCAGGTGTCAGAGAACAAACCTGTGGTATTCAAGCCCTCTGTCCTGTGAACATATAAGAAAGCCCAGTAGTGGTAGAAACCATCTTTTCTAAAGGCACACAGTGTAGAAGCATGCATAACCAAATGAAGAGCGTGATAACCTCGGACATTTTACACTTCAGCAGAGTTTCAACTGTAATTTAACTGTTATTCATTTTTTTACTGTTACTATTTTAAAACCTTTAAGGATGTCCATCAAAAATTTTAGTACTCATGCCTTAAGCCTGGAAAAGTTCAGAACCAATGAAAGAGAAAAAAAAATAGTGAGAGGTGTAAGTCAACTATCTATAAAAGTGTAAGACTCCCTGCAATGATGTCAATATTCTATCTATATATATGTTGTCCAGTATCATAGCCACTAGCCACAGGTGGCTACTGAACACATGAAATGTGGCTAGTACAACTGACTGAATTTATTTTATTTAAATTTACATAGTTAAATATGGTACTGAGTATGATATTGGATGGCACAGATCTAGAACCTTGGGTTAATGGATTGTGCTAAATTAAAAAAAAACAAAAAAAAACACCGAAAAACAAAACAACTATAAATCCAGCACTGTATTAATACTCTCTTATTCCTTATAAAGTTCACCTTGAAAAAGTTGAGGTCCTAGTCTGGTCTGCTCAGGCTGCCGTAACAAAAAAACATACACTGGGTGGCTTATACAACACACATTTATTTTCTCACAGTTTTATAACCTGGAAAGCCCAAGATCAAGTTTCTGGACTATTGGTTCCTGGTGAGGATCCTTTGCCTGGCTTGTGGTCATCATCTCTCTGTGTGCTCACAGCACCTCTTCTTTGTACACATGCACAGAGAAAAAGATCTCTCTTCCTTTTTTTTTTTTTTTTTTAATTCTCACCAGCAGATTTTTTTTCCATTGCTTTTCAGAGAGTGGAAAGGAGAGAGAGAGAGAAACATTGATGTGAGAGACACATAGACTGGTTACCTCCCACACACACCCTGACCAGGGCTGGAGATCAAGCCTGCAACCGAGGTGTTTGCCGTTGGCCAGAATCGAACCCAGGACCCTTCAGTCCATGGCCCAATGCTCCAACCACTGAGCCAAACCAGCTAGGGCTCTCTTCCTCTTCTTATAAGGCCACCATCCATATCCAGTTAGGACTCCCACCCTTACGATCTCATTTAAGCTTAATTACCTCTCTAAAGGCTCTATCTCCAAATACATTAGGCTTCAACATATGAATTTATGGGAGGGAGGCGGTGACACAAAATTCAGTCCATAGCACAACTCTCCACTCTCCCTCCCATGTCTAGATTTCTTATCATGAGTTCCAGTGTTCCATGGACTACACTTCTCGCCCTTAATTTATAAACTTCTGGAAGCTAAATTTTCTGCCTAGTCTTAACACACCACCAGTTTACACCTGAGTGAGGCGTTAACCCTGCCTTCAGACACCCCTGAAATTTACCAAGATTAAACTTAGCTTTGGCCCTCAAAATGACTTCTTACCTCCTAAAATTATAGTGCAGAAAAGAGTTAACACAGCAAGCCTGACACTGCTCTCCTTAGGAAGGACAGCTTGTAAGGTTGGCCCTTGACTAGATCTGGGAACTTGGATACTAGGAGAATTCCACCTCCCTAACTGCTAACAAGGACTTACTGTGCCTAAACTGTTTGTGCAAACAATGTGATTTATGCTGAACATCTGCTTTCCTTCTGAGGGTCTGGAATTCTGGTACCTTCTAAGCAGAAAATGACTACGTGACCAGCCCCCAATAAAATTCTTGGGCACTGAATCTCTAATAAGCTTCCTTGATAGATGACACTTCACACATGTTGTCAAGATTCTGCTAGAGAAACTGAGTGTGTCCTGTGTAACTCCACAGAGAAAGGACTCTTAAGCTTGTGCCTGGTTTCCACCAGACTTCATCCCATGAACCTTTTCCCTTTGCTGATTTTGCATTGTAGCCTTTCTCTGTAATAAATCATAATCTTGAGGACAACTATATGCTGAACTCTGTGAGTCTTCTTAGAGAATTATCAAACCCAAGGGTGGTCTTGAGGACCCCAAAATATCAATCAATACACTTTTTAAATTCACATCATCCCTAGTAAAAGAACCCTGTATTCCTATATTTTAATCTTCCCAGGTTCCATTCCAACCCATAATTCTCCCAGTCCTGGCCTTAGCCAGTCCACTGTCCACATTATCACAATCACTCAGGCTAAGATAACCATCAAATCTCTCCCTATATGTCAAAGATTCTATAACTGGGGTGAATATTCTCCAAGAGATAGAGAGCATGTTTTTAATATAAAAAATGTTTCCTAAATCTTTCAGTAAAAATAATGTTTCCATGCTTAGCTTCATTTTATCTAAACTTTCTGCAAGGACAGAAGCTACAGAGCACTCTAATCTGCCTAGAAGTTTCTTCTTCTAAATACCCTTAAATACTTCCTATCATCTCACTTTCCATGGACCATTCTATTCACTTCCATAACTTTAGCTTCTACCTGTGGCTACTAAATCTTTAACTTAGTCCAGTCACCTGTCCTAAGCCCTAGAATCTTACCTCCAACCACCTACAGAACAAGTACATCTATGGACCTTACCAATCAACACTTAGATTGATCTTCTTTTTCAGAGGAAGGGAGAGAGAGGGAGAGGGAGAGAGGGATCAAACCTGTAATCTAAGTTTGTACCTGACCAGGAATGGAACATGCAACACTTAAGTGCATTGGATGATTCTCTAACCAACTAAGCCACACTGGCCAGGGCTAGAGTGATGTTCTTTTTGAGATTTTTGTTCAAAAGATCATCTAGATATGTTTGCTTTACAATTGAACTGACTCTGATTACTATATCATAGCAATCCAAAGTTATAGAAGACTATTTGAATCCTTTCCCTAACATGCCTTTTTGGTATTCCAGCCTAAACTGTTCCTACTTGGTAGTTCACTACTGTAGTAGAGCTTGCTGCAGTACTATGCACTGAGCAGCCATTTAATGTTCATTCAATATATTAATATCATTAATCATCTATCAGACCTGCAGCAAACAGAATGGAGTAGCATGCTGGTAAGACATGGCTGCATTTAGAAATGTCACTATTGGTAATCTCACTTTATTAGTTATGTAAGAATCAAACCATTTTTCAAAAAATGGTTTGAAATAGCCAGCTACCCATTTTAGGGCGAAAATATAGAGGGATGAAAAGTTTAAACTATAGAATTAGAAGAAAAAAAGGGGTGGGTATTTCAAAAATGTCCACATAAAGATGGAAAAATGAACACATGCTTTCACTCCTTCCTAAAACCTCACTAAAATGATGATAAAATGAATTTAATTTTCTTGTAAGGTGTAAACTTAGAGGATGAGAATAGAAAAGGAGAAAACAGCAATAGAATTTCACAAGCTGGAAAGGAGACAGACAAGCGGTAACTGAGTTAATAGTCTGGAGAAAACTGAATCTCAGAAGGACAATGGAAAAGCGAAAACCAGCCCATTTTCCATCCCATCTTACATCACTGGACCCCCAACCAAGATCAGGAAATTAGGACATCTGGAAATAGGGATGAAGGAGGACCTAAAATTAGGTCAATTGGTTTAAATAAAGTCTATGTAAGAGGCAGTTAGATCCCCAAAGCTCCATTCCAAATCCTGGCAGCCCAGCCCCCAACCTGACCAAACAGAAGTGGTTTATTCTCTGGAAATAATAAAACAGAGGGTCTTATTTGGACCAGGAATCAACACACACAGTTGAGAGTAGAGATACAGTTCCACAAATCAGGGGGTTGGGGGAGTGGTCAGGGGTTAGATAAAAATGTGTAAACTAGAATACTGAATGCTGAAACACCTCTACCCCCAGAGTTTTCAAACCTACTCAGGCCCTAGAACAACGACAGTCTGACTTATAGATGACAAGCAACTCTGATAAGCCAAAGAGTAAAGATCTAAAGGTACTGACATGAGAGGGTTCCCCACATTCAGCCAACCAAATCTTTTTAATGGGAATTTAAAAATCAGTTGAGTGTCTCCCGTGTATGTGAGCTTTGGTCAGCTTTTGAGTTCTTTGTTGTAAATATAAGGAGACAACCAAGGACTGATCACCAGACATCTGAGAAAACCTCTAACATACACAAAATATACAGATAAAAGCAACACAGAATTCACGTGACATTTCTTAAAAAGCTGTAACATTAATATCTTTACAGCAGAGAGAAAATACTATATCCATGACAAAAAAGAATATTAACAAAAGAAATTCAAAGAATAGTCTTGGAAATTAAAACTATAATAGCAGAAATTTTCAACAGAAAAGAAAGAATTTAAAGTTGAAAAATATCTCAAAAGTGGGAGAGGAAACAAGATAGCAGCGTCAGTAACAGCTGCACCCGCAGCCTCCCGCAACCACATCAACAACTAAAATAGAGAACCACCATCACTCAGAGCCTCCTGAAATCTGGCTGCACAGAGCCCCACAACCAGGGAACTGAAGAAGCACTGAGACCGGTACGAGGGGTGGAGACCTGCGCGGATCGGGGCTGAATCGCAGAGACACTGCCACAGGCCCACACCCTGTGGCATGGGTTAAACCCGGGAGGGCATCTCGGCGGCGGAGGTTTCCCGGAGGGGCAAGGAGTCCCAGCCCTACATCAGGCCTCCAGCCCAGGGCTCCAGGGCCAGGAAGAGAAGTCCCCACAACTTAGGGCTGTGAAAACCAGCGGGACTGTCGCTGAGGTTCGCAGAGGCTGTGGGAACCCCAGGCTTTCCTCTCAAAGGGCCCGAGCACGGACTCACTCGGAGGCTCCCTCTGAGCCCAGCGCAGGGCAGCAGCCTGAAAGGACCTGGAACACTCGGGGGGGGAACTAACCTGCCTGAAATCAGGCGAGAGCTGGAGGGGCGGCTTTCTCACAGACAGAAGAGCTGGCAGAGGCCACGGCTCTTAGGCGAGTCCTCCCCGGACACAGCCCGCAGGCAGGCGCCATATTTGAATCTCCAGCACCTGACTCACACCTTTGGCCCCGCCCCGTGATTCCCGGAGGCCCCGCCCCTCCCCACCTGTAGCTCATCCAAGCCAATTCCAGTAGCTTTTCTGTGCAAGTGGCCTCTTGAGCCTTATGCTTAGGACTTCCCTAAAATCGCTCAAGCAGCAGCATGCCCCATACGGCTTGATAAGTGGTGCCAGGCCTGGGAGTAGTGGCAGCCTACACTGGTCCATAAATTGGCCTCTCCTGGACACCTCCAAGCCCAGCACAAGTAGCAGCCAACTACGGTTTGCTGTGTAGCTCATGCTGGGTGGCCCTGGGCAAGGCCTGGCACAGGCTGACTTTGCACCTCCTGGGAGGCCCCACAGACAGTGCAGCTGGTGGTCAGACTTGACCACACTGGATTACAACCCTACCACATCCACAAGTGACACACTCAAGGGGCGCACTTGGTGAACACCAAAGCTCCACTGAAGTAAATCCTGCTCCATAGGGGTGTCTCTAGCACAGCAGCTCTTTGGCTGTAGTTGAAGCTGATCCTCAAAGCCAATTGGCCTGGGGATCAATTCCTCCGAGTGATGCCAACAGCAACCAAGGCTCAACTACAACAGGTCAGAGCACACAGCCCAGACCGGGGAGCACCTAGAAGGCCCAGCTCAAGTGACTAGGGAGGTTGAGCCACTGGACCCTACAGGACACCTACTACACAAAGTCACTCTACAAATTACAGGAGACATAGCAGCTCTAACTAATATATAGAAACAAACACCTGGAAGCCGCCAAAATGTGGAGGCAAAGAAACAT